TGGGGCTGCCGAGGCTGCCGTTGCTGGCGTGAGAAGGGGAGACGAAGCCGCCGCGCTCGGGGGTCCCCGACCGCCTGCATGGATGTCTTCAGCTTTGTGAAGATTGCAAAGCTCTCGAGGTAGGCGCTGCGCCGGTTCCATTTGCACCCGGGGCCGCCGCGCGGGCAACTTGGTGTTTATTTTTCGGAAGACTGGGGAGAAGCAAACGCTGAAGAGAGCGGCGGGGCTTGTGCTAGGACCGAAAAGGAGGCGGCCAGGGGCTGCAGCGTTCAACTTATTCTCACTGGCTGGTGGGGCTTGTGCATCCACGGGTGCAGAGCACACAGAGAGATGCACGCACGCCCTCACGCACACACCTATATTCACGACAGTTTGTTTTCCCTTAGGAAAAGCCCCAGTGGTGCTTGGGGTCCCACGTATAATTCAGGGGTCCCATGTGTAATTGCTACTGTTAGGGAAGGCCAGAAGGGCTCGGTGCGTGCCTTTCCAGCAGCAACGACCAAAAGTGCCCCACTTCCTCCCGCCCCCCCAAAATCAGACCTCCACCCCTCCCCCAAAAAATCTCAGCTCCTAGGTTGACCCAGGTGTTCTCCGCAGCGACCTAAATAGTGAAGGCATGGAGATAGAAGAGAAAGACCATCAGCCTTTCTTTGGGTAACTATATACTCTTAAGCCTTGAAAGATTTAGAAATTTGTTCCCAAGTGGCCATGTTGCTGAAACTGAAGAATAACCGTCGATTCAGGTAGATGTCTTGGGCAGTGCTGATAGAAGAGGAACAGTCCTGCTCCTGGGCTGCCTAGGTATCGCCTGGTCAGAGCATTCCTCCAAGGTCTGCCCTGCTTGTGCTTCTGAAGTCTTCATTGAACCCACGAAGTAAGGTCTGTGGTTCTTGCAGTGTGTCATTAAGTGGGAAGAGCCAGATCTGAGAGGTCTTAAAAAACCATGCCCAAACTTCTCTGCCCAAGTCTCTGGAAGGACTGACCTTCTGCCCCTGGAGCTCCTGATGACAGCTACCACCAAGGCCCGGGAGGTAGACAGTTGGGTTTTTCCAAGATGCAGCTTAAAGACTTGCTTGCAATTTGGAGAGAATAATTCAAGATTTTCCTTTATTCCTTAGTGTCAGAGTGAGACTGTGTTGATTGCATCAGGCAGGGATGAGTGGCCTCCAGTAGCTTGAGGTGGAAATGTATGTTGACTTTGCTTTGCAAAATTACATTTGGGCCACTTCAGAAACGTTCAGTTTGGATGTTGCCATTCTCTCTAACATCCACAGGTCTTTGTTCTTCCTGCCCATCTCTGCTTTCCTTCTTTACTCACATGGGTCAGTCTTCATATCAGGAGCAAGTATCCCCAGGAAACGCAGCCCCATGTAACTTACTCTTTCTGGGTATACTGTAGGTATACAGTTGATGGGTAAATATGTCTGTCTTAGAGCAGCCCATAAAGAGGTGTTGCCCTGCAGACCAGAAGACTGATGTGTTAAGTAGGGGATGATTGCAGTGTGGCAAATTGTTTGGTTTCACACTGGTATTGTAGAGAGCCACGGCTTCACATCACTGTTCCATTAACTTCCTGCATGCCTTGCCTGTGGCTGGTTTATAAACAGCCGTCAAATAATGAACGATGGTTGGCAAACAGCTGTGGGCAAGTTTAGAGATTGCCTGGTGCCCTCTGTGTGACAACAGAAATATTGCTAAAGGGAAAGAGGCATTCAACCAATAGTATAGTTTAAGTAACCGAGGTAGTTTTCAGTGGCTTCAAATGCTAAAACCAACAAGATTAATAAAACATCTAGAGCCTTGATTTAGTTCTTAAACTTTGGAGCTTTGGGTAGGACAGTGCTGAGTGTCAGTGAAAAGATGTTTTATAATCATTTTGCTAAAGTCTGGTCTCATTTTGCTAAATTGATAGTCACCAATCTGAGATTTTGCAATATCCAAGCCAGGTTGTGGAGGGATTCATATCATATTTTAAAGAAAGTTTAAAATTTAGTAAATGAGTGTGAATTTCACTTTCCATCCTTAATGTGATCCAGTAGAGTATTTATTCTAAAGCAAGAAAATGCACATGTTCTGAGCTGATGTGCCGATTAAAAAATTTTCCACCCATAGGAATTCTTTTTCCTCAGTGTGAACTCAGGGATGGTCGTTAAACTGAAATAGAAATACGTTTAGAGGGTCACCCGTATGCACAAGCACATGTTTGCAGTTGCTTGTTTCTGTGCTTAAAAGAAGAAAGCCCGTGTTTTAAATACTGTTACAGAAATCAAATTCTTTTCTCAAAGGTGAAGCATAAAAGTGCTTACACAGCAGGATTTTCCTGATTTCAGAATGGATAATCTTCCTAAAGGATTTAGCTTTGATCAGTGTGGTTACTTGAGTGCTTAAAATTCTCTTGGGTTAGAGGCAAACACACGTAGTTACCCTGGGTCTTAGCCTTGCCTTTGGTTCCTACCCGCATGAGTTTCTAAGTGTTAATTCAGAAAGCATTTGCTTTAACTGATTTTTGCTTAGTATCTTATCTGTCAGTAAAGATAGTGGTAATTCCAGAGAATTCCAAGAGAATATTAATCCACACTGGAATTAATAAACTGCATCTTTTGACTTTTCAAGGTACCTACATTTAGCTGTTTGTTCCTAGAATCTGTGCCCTATAAATCATGTGAAAAATCAGAATTCAAATTGCCCCTCAAAAACCCAGTATCGTCTTATGATGATCATTTAAAAGAAATTTTGCTGCCAAGCGTTGGAACAGCTGGCAAGTAGTTGGGACCCTTTACATCATCTGTTTGAGTTATGACCCCTGATTGTATCCACTGTGGGCGGCACAGTGTGTCATCGTTCTATCTGGAGATGTTTTTTCCTGTTCTTCTAATTTTCTGGTTATTAAACTGCTTGAGAGTTTATATGCAGTTTAACTTCACTGTTTCCTTGGTAACAATTCTATATCATATTCCATCCTTGTAGATGAGAGCATTATAGATGATTGCTTTATAAACCAGTAATAGTATAAAAATAGGCATATATTTTTATTGTTACTGCTCTTGATATCGACTATTTCATTTGTAAAGCAGACACACTCTTTCGAATGTTTATAAAAGAATGCAGTTCAATAGAAAAACATATGATTATGCCCCTTTTCCTGAGGAAAGTGATTTGAAACCCAAAACTCATAGGGGTGTTATTAAAACGAGCAATGCGTTCATGGATTGAGTGCCTGACTTCATTTCTTTTCTTTAAGCAAAATGGCACACTTTCAGATAATGATTGGGACCCAATGATTAATAAGAAGATTATTTCTTATTGTAGTAGGTAAATTTTAGGATGCTTTATTTTGCATTTTCTTCTAGTTGCATGGGCAATTTTGTGATATACAGCAGTGACTAATATCTGTCATAAAGTGTTCTAATGTTGTTACAAGTATCTTACAGTTGAGGAAAAATAAAAATATATATATATTTATAGTTTCCTTACATTATTATGTAAAACCTATTTAGGTACTATTAAACTTCTATTTTTTACCTTTACCTTATTCAGAATTAAATGTTTCTCAGGGAAAAGGGGAAGTTAAAGAAGAAACACAAAAGTTCAGAATTTTCCCATATCCTCCATCTTTCCCTGACTAATTGCATTAATATAGCTGATAATAGTGAGCTCTGGAGGCTAGCAATGAAAACCCTCCAAAGACTCTGGATTTGAATTTCATTAAAAATGCTACTTGCTCATCTTCTGAGTTCTGCTGATTTTTGTGGCTGTCAGGAGGTGAAATAATGAACAGTTTCATAACAGAACTAGATTTCTGTTTTAGGAATATTTAACTCTAGTTTCCTAGGGGTTGCTAGTTTGCAGCTGTGAAAGTCTAGTCGCTGGCAGTTCCAGGGAGAAAACGTCAGGTTCAAGCTTTGTACCATTTCAAGCATCTCTCTCTCTCATTCTCTGGGGCAAGTAAATTTCACCTTCTTGCTCTCAGAATTTGGTACAGATTGTCAACTGCAGTGAAACTTACTTGTTCTTTAAATGCATGACCTGGAAATTCTCACTTTCTGTTTATGGCCCCTCCAGCTGTTCATTCTCTCCATTTACACCCACACCCACACCCACCCACC